CAAAAGTAACAGACTTTATGTTTCTTAAACTACATGCATTTATGAAAGTTCTTATGAAGTTTCAAATGTAACTGTAAAAGGTCATGACATGTGCACTTTAACCTACCTGTTGTGAGAGGGTTAATAATGTTAACATTTTGCTTCAGGTCTTCCATGTTGAAAGTCTTATACCCTGGACACTTTGTGGGACTACATGCTGTGGGTATTAATAAAATGGATGGAGCTATAAGTTTTTAGTATAGATAATATATTTCATTAGTTGCCGAGTGGATACATGAATATCAGGCATTGTTCTTCAAACCTTGAATATTTGATGTTATCAGCTGTTACTTCTTGGTAAATGTGTTGATTCATCAATGATGATCTGCATGAATCTCCACATGCTTGTTTAGTGTGTGTTTCAGGTACTTGAAGCTTAAAGTTACACAATACAGACACTTGTTACTAATAGTACAGTAACGAAACCAAAACATGATTTTCTATTATAAAGTAGTTTTAATATTTGGGTTAGTAAAATCTGAACTGTATATTAGCAAGTTAGCATTCTCATTTTTTAGTCTTCAGTTTTGTCATGTAATTTAAACTTTGATTTCATAAAATTTCTCTCCATTCTCATACTGAAGAACAGGTTATTTTTTGACTTATAATAATGATAAAAATCAATTGTCTGAAACAATTACAACATGAATGATATATATATCTTTCTGTTGCTGTTCTTTGCATATAATATTCTTAATATTGAGCTATAATCAAAAGAAACATTCTAAAAATAAGTTGTTGAATTTTATTCTGCATTATTTTTGTTTTGGCTTATTTGTAATACTAGTTGTAATGTTTTAGAGCTCCAGACTTTATAAAACACACAACTAATATCACTTTTCACCAACTACTAACGTATATGACAGTAGTCTGAAGAAATGGTCATCACATTAATGTACCATAATTTGATGTTAATCTAAGGATTCCTGAGAACTATACAAACTTGTTAGATAGGCAAAGCTCATACTTTATTAAACATTAAGTTCATTTCAACAATATAAATACTTCTTTAGGCCCCTTCAATAGTGAACTTGAAAACTTAAAATACAAAATTCAGGGTTCGATCACTGTGGTGGACACAGTGCTGATATCCCATTGTGCAACTTGCAATGAATAAAAAAATAATTTTCTTTCTTATTTTAATGCAAGTAATGGTACTAAATTATTATAGTAATTTTTAAATGAAATGGCTGTATGTTAGCTGTAGTACCTAAAATTCTGAGTTTATATTATGCCGTCAATTTCATCTCTAATAGCCTCCATTTACACTTTGTTTCTGTACATGCAATCGCACATTTTGTATTGCCAGCCTTAAATGAACATGTTACATATTTTTAAGATTTTGTGGGATTTACAAGAATTAATGGATGGTGGCAGGAGTGTTACTGGAAACGTTGAAAAGTTTTGTTTTTGTAAGTATATCATTGACTTTGTTTGTTAAATGGAATTTGAGAGAATCTGTTGATGTTTGGTAATTGGTGATGATTATGGTCATGGTACAAGTGTCATTACTTCATGAATAGTTTCAACCCATAGTTTCAACTTATAATGTCAAGAAATAAGTACAAGCCTAGTATTTAACAATCTTATTTTTAAAGGTATGCTAAACTTTTCATTAATTAATATGCCAAGATGTTTGTAAGAAAAAAAAACTTTTTAAAGGCTCCTACCCTTACCCATTAAACTGTATTGCAGTTTGAATTTTAACCTAGCTGCCTAATTCTAGAAAAGTAATATAAAGAAAAGCTTCACTACATATATTTAGTATAACCACAGTTCATGCATCATTATTAAGCTCCTAAAAACTACACGTGTTCAATAAAATTTCTGTGCCTGAATGCAAACAGTGTTGCTCAACAAGTTTATTTTTCAGCTAAATTCTGTTAGTCATGAAAAAAGTTTTGCCAATTTAAACAATTTTCCCAAATGGAAGGCGAGTTGATAAAATATTGACATTTGAATAAAGCTAATACAAACTAATCTTCATGTATGTATATTGTGTTATCTTGGGTTCTTCTGTATGATGTCATGGATATTGACTCTTATGACACACTTTTTTTTTTTTTGGTTGTATCAATCTCAAAATCATAAGATAATTTCAGAATCATCATCATCATCAGCTTTCACAAGTTCAGTTGTCTTCAAGTGTGAAACACTGGAATGATTTGATGTCATTTTGGGTCTGCTTTCTCATAAAAAAAAATAAACACTTTTCAACTTCTTAGGTTGCTGTGTTTTTTGAATAGCTATGTTGGATAGATCATAATTAGTGCAGATTAGGCATTGTCTGTTGATTTTGTGCACTTGATTTGCATATCTAGTGAGAAATTCAAATTGCATTATGTGGTTGCTGTATGGTGACAAGTTTGCCTAAAGGTGTATGTGTGAGGGAAAGGATTTGTAAATGCAATTTGCTTGTAATCTAGACTGTCAGCATGTTGAAGTAGATATGCTAATGAAACTACCAAAACTCAAGTTTACTGTTGAAACAATGTTTTTCGTGATATTATTTTTTACATGTTTATCTTCAAACTTATTATCTAAACCAAGTTTTTTGGAATATGTTAATATGCTGTGTTATTAAAATTAGTTGCACAATGTTCTGTAAATTTTAACATGCCATGAAGGTTGCATCAACTATAAAAGTATAAGTTTGCTTAAATGTATCAAATGTACATTCTTTTAGTTGTGTATATATTCATAAATGAAAGTGAAATGGAGTACCTTAAACATTAAGTCAGCTCTGTAAACCCAAGAAGGAACTCATATGATATTGAGCTGCATGCCTATAATAAATTTCCAAATGCACTTCACACAATTTGTTTTTAAGAGTTTGAAGATTCCTGTTTCATGCCTTTGGATAAATGGAAGTAAATGGTGAATGTTTTTGCTGCTTATAAGTTTTAAATTTGTGTAGGAACTGGAGAATTTTTTTCACAGGATTTTCCTTCTTAATTTTAAAATCAAGCTAAATATCCTAACATTGAAAGTAAACAGAGGTATCTTCATAAGTAATTTCTTTTCCACCTAACTTAACCTTAAATTACATTGGACTGTGACATGTAATGTTGGGGAAGTAAGGTTTATCAATAATAAGTTTGTTTTTTTTTAATCCTGTTATTTAAAGATAAATACCATAATTTTCTTTATTATTTCAGATAGTTTTTTTTTTTTCACTGTAGTCCACTTAATTCATCCCATTCCCCTCAAAGCTGCAGTAGCATCATGCCTACATGATTCAAGAATCCTTACTAATTATTCTAACAAAATATTAGTTAAGAAAGGTTTAGTAATTCAGTTCAGCATAACTTTGTATTTTAGCTGGACAGTAGTTTAGATCAGGATTGCATAGAAGTACACATGAGATTGTCTTATGTTAGACTTTGTATTTATAACTTATATCTTTAGTTTCCTCTCATTTGTACATCTATATAGATTCCTGCCTTTAGTTATCCTTGTTCAAATTATTTTCTTTTTGCAACATTTCTATTCTGTTCAGATTAGAGGTTGGCTGTTATCTTGTTTTCAGTGATTTGGTAATAGTTTGTGGTAAATATATAACTTGGTTCGAAACAGTTAGCTCAGGGTTAGAATTGCTGGCATAAATTTATGATGTCCAATACTTATGTTATATAATTGGACCCAGTTACATGATTGGCTAACTATTTAGCAATAGGTATTTAAGTCTTTTAAGGTAATAGTTAGCCAGGTTAGCAGAAACAAGTTAGTTTTGCCTTTCCAAAGGACCATTGGTTGCCATGGTCAAGGTTAACACCAACTGGATCTTATATATTTAGATGGGGTTAAAGCAAATACTTTAAAAGTTTTATGTGGTTTAAAACTACACTTTGTGTAATAATTGAAGTGTATTTGGATAGTTGATTACATATTATTAGTCATAGCAAGTAGGAAAACGGTTAATTTGTACTTGATTTAGTTCTGATATTAGCCTCTCTCCTTAATCATCTTTGAACACAATATGGTTAAAGCAATTTGTTTATCTAAATTTATGGTGTTCTGTTATACTTTAAGGTTATGTTTAAATATTAAGGGTGACTGCCTTCCCCACAACTAGCTGCAGACAGTGAAAGGCAGTAGGGGTTGTGACATTGTGGTTCAAGCACTCAACCCCTAACTTTTAACTGGTTTTTCATAGTTGCTGGCTAGTTTGACATCTGCGCTTGAATCTTGTCTGATACTTGGAATATCCTAAATACATTTGGAACCTATAGCCTCAGACATTTTGAGCTATGAGTTAATGATGACAAGGACTGCTAATGGAAAAATCATTTTTGATTTTTCAGTCTCATTCTGAACTTTTTTTATTTGTGTTTATTTATTTATAGTGATGTCACAGTTTTTTTTACACATGAATTATGAAGATAATGAGATGAAATTAGATTTGCTTCTGGTTTTTCTTTCCATCAGGGAGATTACAAAAGTCAGAAAGAGGCAACCTGGGCTGTTGCCAATTTCACATCTGGAGGTACGTTGGAACAGATAGTTTATCTCGTTCAAGCAGGAGTTGTTCCTCCTCTCTGTGATATGCTGAAAATATCAGATCCTAAGATTGTGATGGTTCTAATAGATGCTCTAAACAATATCATTCAGGTCAGTTTACTGAACATTAAATGTTTCTATTAAACATGATTCTATTTTTTTTTCAAATGAACATTTTTCTGTTATTTCTATTTTTAAAGACTTTACCATGAGTTTTTCTTCTTTCCCATAAGCACTAATATAGTAGGGTTTTCTAAATTAAAGTTATTAGATAGGGAAAGAAATTGAATTAGTTTTTCAAATTTAGTTTGGGTGTGTGTGTGTAAGATCAACAAAAAATATTAAAAATATAATTATTTGGTTAGGCCTGTTAATTCAAGACAGCATATGAACACAAGTTCAAGAATCTAATTTTAATAACATAATTGTACACCTTTGGATGTTTCCTCTTTGTATTAGTTTGTAAATATGGAAGAATAAAAACAATTTTTTGAGGATAAGTTTACTCTATTAATATAATTATATCTTACTATAAAGAGGATCCATTTAGGTGTGTGTATGTTAACAACCATTATCCAGAGTTGGCTGACTTGACTACTGTAATTTTTTGTATGACAACTGGAAATTGTCCAATGATTTAAGTGGGCTATTTTATATTAGGATTTTTGTATGAGAAAAGAAAATTGGGGGAAAAAATCCATGAAATAAGGCACGTTTCTACTTTTGTATA